GTGACCACCATTTGAATCACATTTTATTTAAATTTATTTGTTTCGCAATTACTGTTAAAACTTTCGGTTAACACGTAAACACTAAAACTAATGACAATAATTTGATTCCTAGTTTTCCGTCACTTTTCATAACCCAATCATTTTGTAATTATCCCTTTTTTTTGTTGTATGAATGGCTCAGAAATTATCTCAACGGCCGATACCTGTGACACTCAGAACCACAATAACAACTACTCAATGAGTCCCAAAATCAACAAATTTCTCACTCGAGAGCCGCCCGACGGCTGCGAAAAGATTCGGATCGTCAACGAAGACGATAGGTTTGTACAGATATACCGCATATATATTCAGTGACCACTGTTTTTGTCGCATGAGTTTTAATCACTTGTCTGGATGTGATCGCAGACTGAATGCAATCAATTGCCAGCCGAACGGCGGGTTCGTGTGTCCGGTGCAGCCCTCGTCCGGATTCGTGTTGCTTCCGAGCCGGAGCTCAGCGTTTCTGCCAATCTTCAAACCCAACGACTTTTCTGCCGATTATCTCAAGAATCGGATTAATTACAGAAAAAGTTAAATATCTAGTGATGACTACAAACAACAAACACACATACAGTACACACTCTCGACGCAAATATATTTGACAAAACAAATGGCAACAAATCTATAGTTAATATAACAATAAGTTTTAACGTATGAAACAAATAGTGTTTTTTTTAAATATAAGACAAATATTGACTCCAAAAACAAATGTGAGAAATGAGAAAAATGCAGAGAATATACTAATATATATGTTTTAAAATTGATCTTAAATTCTAGAGTCGGATACAGAAAACTGATTATCAGATATCTATTTACGGTTTAATTAGTCTTTTAAATGTCTTTCTTCTCTCATTCTTATCTCATGTCTTCTTCAGGAAATATCATTGAATCCCAAATCACTGTCTCTGAAAACCTCCATTCATTAGACTCATAGGAAAAGTTATTTTTTGAAACTCATTGAATGATTATTAAACGAAAAATTAATTTCAATTCAAATGTCGTTTAGGAATCCAATCAATCCATAGGAATTACACAAGTCTTTAGTCTCAACCCCTTTCTCTCTCAATATAACAAAATTTCTGAAAACTTTTTCTCAAATTTCAGTCGCACTGTCATAATCGCACTGGTATTCAATGATAGTATACATTGTGGTATAAACTCAAAGAACGGGTAGTTTTTCTACTGCTTCTATAACAACTGATTTTACTCATCCAAACACTTACTCCTCGACTCCGAGTTCTCTCTCTTTATTATATACTTTTAATTGTCTATTAATTTGGTTTTGTTTTCAAACATTTTGATTGACTCTTTTGAACGTGAAAAACACGATTTGATTTTATAGTTTGTTTTGTGTGAGAACTCCGGTATTCATTATACAACATATTATATAATTGACTCGAATTACTATTTTATTACCATTTTATACTCAATTATAATCGCACAACAAATGGTCGATACATACAGAATGAGGGAGAGAATGGTTTGGGTACAACCTCTTAGAGTACGGGTGCCCTCTCAGCCGATGACCCAGACATCCACAGACACCACACGCAACACATACACAGACAAAGACTGTCAATATTGTCGGTGCAGTCGCTTCTCAAATGAGATATTGATATCATTTTACGGAATAATAACAAGAGTTTGAGTGAATATTGACACGAATGGTATACACTTTTGCTCTCAAATATTGACAGTATTTTATAAGAAATAACTTAAAAACTTCATATCAAACAAGAAATATATGATATAATAATCCGTTTGTGAAATGCATTCCCGCGAGTCGTATAATGTATTCAAAATAAAATGATAATACAAAAGACAATGTAATAACAGATAAAAAAACATCAAACTTTTTATTTATATTTAATTTTTCTGGTTTCTGTTAATTCACTACAGATTACAGATACTGTAATAAAGAAACTATAAGTTAATGTCTTAATTGTATGCCTTTTTTGCAGAGATATAGTAAGCAATAAAAATCAGTTTATTTCATCATTTGATGATTTATGAATTATTTCAATGAAAATTCGCTTTTAAAATGCGATAATTTTTATTTTGCAATAAAGTCTATCTATAATGAATGAATCATAACATGATTTCACTCTTATTCTAATCGTAAGTATACTTTGTAAGTGATTATATAATACTTTAATGTGATTACTGCTGGTAAACGGGATTGTATTCCCATATATTTTACACATACTGTAGGAATTACTAAAACAATTGAAACGTTAGATAAATAATACGATAATTTATTAGGATTTCTTCAAACAATTTAATAGCTTTATTACAGGATATGTTTCAGAAAAACTAGACTTTTAATCAAATTATCTAAAAATTACTTTCGTTTATTTATATAATATTTTCTATATTTAAATGATTACATAATAGTATAGAAGACTTCAATTTGAAGCACAAAATCGATGACAAATACTCGTAATTAGATGATGAGTACAATAATTATATAATTATATACGCGAATAAACAACTTTTAAACATATGATAACTTTGGGACATAATATATTTGTCACAATTATATAATGAATAAATAAAAAATGGTAAAAACTATTGAAATTTGATTATAACATAAATATATTAATTAATAATTAAATGAAAATCGACGGCAAACTCATTGATTACAACCTATAGGAGTATATAAGGGACACACAAAATGAACGCATAAATTGTGGCAAAAATATATATTTCATTTGTATTCTTCATCAGTGAAGTCATTCACTCACTCACTCGCACACACTCTCTCACTCATACACACACACACTCCCTGTCCACTGGACACACACCTTACGACTGGAGCAACGATTCACTTAAGATATTATTCTCCAAATGAAAGCTGTATTCCGATTGACTGGCAGTCGATAAGTATTGTTGGATGCGATCGATGGTCTCGAAGGACCTCACCAGCGATCGAGTGTTACTGTCGCACAGCTCTTGGCCGCCGATCGTCAGCGAAGTGAACGGTATGTTATCGATGGGCGACGAGTAGGTCTGCGCCGATGACCTCTGCGCGTGTGTGGCCGCCATCGATGAGGACGAGTGACCGGCGNAGAAATTAATTCATAATTCAAATGCAATTTTCATTTTATTCAACAAAAATACATTTTTTGTAGCTTTTGTTTGGTTGCCATTCAGTGAATGACATTTCATTTGGTAAATAGTATTTCTCGTTTGCAACACAAAAAACTATGAAATCTATTGTAAAATCAATAATTAATGCATTTATCGTATGAAATTTAATGATAAAATAAATTTTCAAATTTAAAGCAAAATCGTGTCCTATTTAATGGACAATAGTGTTGTTAAAAGGCTATTGTTTTGTCGCTAATACTCTATATCTGTCTTATGCCGTAAAAACGCTGTCTAATCCATAATCCATAGACAAAGTGTCAAAAATAACGTGTTTCTCATGCAATTATGTTGGCTACTGATAATCCGGGTCTAAAATATGCCAAATAGTTGCTAAACAGTATCTAATTGTGCATAATTGGCACACATGTGCAACACCAAAACATGCATGCTCAATTTAAATGTCCATTTAAATGCATTCACAAAACAAAAGTCCATTTAAATGTCAAAAAGTTTTGTTTAAAGTTTGGCGCATAATGTGGTGCTACGGGCCAATGGGAGCGCATACTTGGCCGTCACGTGCGGGGAGTGGTAGCCCGCGATTGGCGCGAATGGGTAGAGGAGGCGGTGCTTCGGAGTGGTGTGTTTTGGGTGTTCATGATGTGCAGTCGTGAGCACTGGTAGGCAATCTGCAGCGCTGTGCGATAGGGATATTGTGTGCCTATTATGTTATGTTTGGCACTGCATAGCCATAGCACAGGACAGACCGTCAATCATATGATTTAGTGCCAGTAATTGCAGTGCATTTCCACCGTTCAGTCGACCACTCAGTCGTTGCACTCATTGTTACCGCGATTGCCGACAGCTTAAGAGTAATGCTTTGATTATGTATTACACGACACATGTGTGGCATTTCAAGTGAGATGTGTGGCAGTGATGGACACCAATGCAGTCAAATCGATACCAACGCATCCAATGGAGCCAAGTCTGCAGCCATACAATCACCGCAACCTCACTGACAGAGACATGAATGCCGAGGAGGACA